AGTGATAACAACTGTTTTATTTGATAACAACTGTTATATTTATAACTGTTTTATGTACTGAAATTCGTAATGTAGTTTCTTTTTTATTCTGGTTCTATTCTTTTTTATTCCCTTATGTTATACATTATATCCTTTTTTATTCTGGTTATATCTTTTAATTTAAGTTATATCCTAATTGAGATATTATAACACTGCTATGATTAAAAAAGACTGAATCCTATTTTAGAATGGAATAAAACTTTTTCCGAATAATTTAATCTGATATGCATATTTTATAATTGCATCATTTATAGCTGCATCAAATTTCCAATTTACTTACAAAAATGTATCATTTAATATCCGTGAATAACAATAATTAAATAATTTATTTTTAATTGTAATATAAACTGCAAAAAATTTTTGAAGATCAATCATGAAAAAAGATAATGAGAAAATAAAAATTAAATGCAATATATATTAATGTAAATTAATAATATCAATCGTAATCTAACATTCTCGCAATTTATATCAGTTCTTTTTGACTTGTATTTTTCTCTAGTTTCTGCTTCTGACATGTCGTTCGCGATTAGTTCTTTTTTTCTTTTCTTCTAGGAATCAGAATTTATATCAGCACATCTGATATTATACTATGTCCTTTAGCAAATGTTTAAATAAATTCTCTTTTCCAATTGTTTCCATTTTTTACTTTTTGCTTTATGATCTTTTCTTTGCTCTGCGTTGTTTTTTTTTATTTCTTTTTTATTTTTTTTTTTGTAAAAGATTGGATTTCTTCGTTTAATTCGACTATTTCATCTTTCTTTTCTTAAAGGAGATTCTCTTCGATATCGGCTTGTATATTTCCTTTCCTTTGCGTACTGTCTCACTTCGTCCGCTGATCGATGCGTTCTCGCCGATGATGTGCTATAAATCGACATCTAATTCTTACGCGTAATTTCATATTTTCTTAACAACAGTTGCAATATATTGCATCAATAATCTGTAATTGCGGATTGTGCTTGCCTTATTTTCGACGAGTCGATTATGTAATAAAATAAAAAATTATAAAACCAAATTAGTGCATTATCAAGTTGTGAACACATGTTCAATTCGATATTTTTGTAATAAAATTTTGTAATAAAATTTTCCGATTATTATATTGAAGCATTTAGGAGAAAACTCTATATTGGATTTTCTATATTATTACATTAGACTCTCTGAAACTCGTGACGGAATAGATCTAGTTAGCTCGTTCATTACGCGTAGGTGTCGTTTATTAATCGGGCAGTTTTAAATAGCGAGTCCGATGGTCGCAAGATATTTTCTCGCTTGTAACAAGTTAAATCTCCCCTACGAGATTTGACGTTATAATAAATATATATATATTTTTTTTTTGCAATCTACAAGATTTTGCTACTTGTGACACACGTATTTCATATATAGCATGCGTTAACTTGAAAATAAAAATAAAAAATATGTGCAAATAGAAGGAAACATGGGAAATCTAGAACCTTGTTACAGACATACATGTATTTTTCCAATGTTTACAATTTATTTTGTTGGCAATTTTGCCGCGTTGCGCAAAGCCAAACATCGCCACGTAGGAATCTGTGCTCTATACCATATTATGGTTTGCTGAGGTAAACAATCATCGTCTCTAATATTTCATTACATTTTACATATATATATACAACCCACATTACCTATTCATTAGTTTCCTTCCTAGTTTATTCATTTCGGTCGATTTCCCGAAGGACACTTTTCTTTCCTTTCATTCACGTCCGCGATGTTTTGTGGAAATTGTGCCCACGCAACCGAGATTTAATCCAAGATTTAATCCATGAAGATTAGAGTCGTGAGAACAGCTTTAAAGGGACATAAGAAACTTAAATCGCTTACCCGATGTAAGACACACACCATTTGATCTTTTCGCGCACGGAAAAACTTCCTGAATTCAAATGGTGCAGCTCACCGTCGTCATTCATTTTTCCCGATTAAAATCCAGTTTTAGGTAAAACTGCTCACGACTACACATTTTCCTGGTAAAAAGTTTCCTTACAGGACCTCCTCCGTCTTATATGTTCATAATTGATACCTTAGTTTAATACCTCTTAATATCTTAGTTTAATTCTGCGATAAATATAGATTCGCAGATGAAATCCTCCCCCTTAGTTCTATTTACAGGAAAACGCAAATGTTTGGTAATCTTAATAATGAACTTAATAATGAACTTTGAGATTAATCAATGGAACGGATCCGTTTGTCAATTATTTAGCAATTAATTTGAGAATTTTTCAGAATAATGTTAATTAACTTTAATAATTAAGATCTTGCTTTTAAGAAAATATTAATTTCCTTCTACGTCTAAGCTATCGCAGAATTATTCTGTATATCGTGTATATAACGTCATGAATAGTTTCATTATGTATTTACATTTTATCGGAAAGAGTAAATAACGGAGTGAAATTGTACATTAAAGAATATTTTGCGTAATTTAATTCCTCGAGTAATATAATTGAAATTCCAATAAATTCTAATATTTTATTTAATTGTAACGCTTATAATGAATAAAAAAAGTCTCGTGTAATGTTAAATCGGTTTGATGATGAATCTGTTAGTTAAATTGAAAATGTAAAAATTCTTTTAATCATATAATATATATATATATATTTTTTTTATTTCCAGTGCGATATTATAAAGATTTTCTAGTTAAAATGTTTAATCTTAAGTAGATGGGATGAGGAAGAACGAAGGATTTATATAAATTTTATATATTTTTATTTTTAAAGATATAAATCTGTGTGCGTTTAATAAAAAAATATATATCATTCATATCATTCAAAGCGCAGTTGTAAATGCATTTTTATTCAAACCGTTATTCGAACCGTTGGCATTTGAAAACTGCCGAATGTTCCAATCAACATGGTGATGCGAACACAATTGCACTTAGCGGGACAATTTTTAGCGAGGAAAAACACATCGACAACCATTCGTAAAAGCGAACGGAAGCGAAAAGAAAGTGGAAACGATCGGTTGCGGTTGCGACATCGGGCTGGGCAATCAACGTTTAATTGCGACATTCATGGACGCTTAAAAGCATTATCGGTGCTGCAAAGTTTATTATTGTCACGTACACCAGACGAATGTTAAATTAAAGAGGACGAAACCGGAACAGAGGGAAAAATAAAAAGAGAGGGAGGGGAGGGGAAAGAATGCATGGATACAAATATACATCTCTTTCAATTTTCAATTTTTTTGTGAAGCGATCGCGATATTCATTCACGGGAAGTATGTGGGTGGGCTTGCATAAAAATGTGTTTTCAATGTATATATCGGTATAAAACTGCGATCAAAGAATCGGTACAAACAGATCGATTTGTCCATTTCACGGAAACAATGACACAAAGTGGCATTCCACAAAGTGGCCTTACGAATTTTATACCCTTACCCTTTCCGAATGCCAAATAAATACAAAAACTATAAAATTTTTGCCTGCTACTAATCTTTAAAATATTGCAAAAGAAAGACTTTTTTATTATAAATTCTATAATTGCAGCTGTGATTTTTAATCCTTTCATCGTTATGCTTTTCACAGTTACCATGATGAATAATGCTTTTCACAGTTACCATGATGAATAATGCATTTGACTTTTGAAAGCGCGAAGTTCATTTTTATAAAAATAATAAATATGCACAATAAGTAAAAAAGAATTAAATCCAAATTTTGAGATCTAATCTGATGTATAAAGATATATAAACTATAAGATATGAAGAAAGAGAAAAA